GCGGCAGCTGCCCCGCCGACCAGCAAGAGCGTCGACCTGTTTTGGGTCCAAGGTTTCACGGCCTCCCTCGGCTCCATTTTGGAAGTTCGCTCAGACTTTGGACTTCCGCGCATCCGCTGGAAAACTAGAAGTGTAACGTTCAAGGGACCGTCGGTTTTATTAATGTTCAAAAGTTTCAGTTGCCTTGTATGCTACGTTCAACGACATAAACCTCATTTTTTTCGTAAACGAGATTTTGAATGGGAATTTTAAGAATTGTTTTATTCATGACATTTTTGTCGTATTTTTCTCGCCGCAAAGGTCTCAGACTTTAAGGAAACCAAAATATCTTTTTCATTTTATAGGGAATTTGGAGTTGTTTTTTCTAATGGAATTTGGATGGTCGTGGCCCGTTCAAAACACAAAGCAGCCTTTATTTAGAATGGAGCTTTCAATAAAGAATTCGTGTTTTTTTTTGCTCCACCATAGAAAAAAATAGTTGCAGTATTTTGCATCCCAAAAATGACTCTGCCATCTTCTGTCCATTTTTTTTTCTCGTTGATGTTAACTCATTCAATGCCAATCGTTATTCTCAAATTGGGAGTGCCGGTACCAGACATTTTTGATGGCCTACATAAAATTTAGTGCTCTAACTTACCATGGACCCTACCAAAAGAAACCTTTAACCCTCTTATTTCACCAGGAAAAAGGTACATTTCTACATTTTACTATTCTTTAGTAAACAGCAGCTGAACGTTGGTAAGGTTCTTGAAAATATCCGTTTCCAAGAAAAACTGAGAAAAAGACCGTTTTGTGAAAGCATGCATATCAAGCAGAACTTTCACTTTGATGCTTTTTTTTTTTTTGCATTTGCGATACTTTTGGGTGGGTTTTTTTTTTGCTCTCTTGTATAAAAATTACCATTCAAAGATGGCACAAAACTGTCAAACAATGAAGCAAAATTAAGTGCAAGAACTAATTTTATGACATTTTTTTTCGCAAATATCAACTCACCCCAAATGTTAATATTATTGAGGTAGCATGTTTTTTTCTGCATATCATTCCAAATTTGCCCCAAAATTGTGAAGCCAACTCACGTTGTAGTGTAAGACCCAGTGGAAGCGAACCAAGACATGGCTCTCATCTAGCGGTTATAATATTAGTGATATTACAACTACAGTCGAAAACTCACGTTGTAGTGTAAGACCCAGTGGAAGCGAACAAAGACATGGCTCTCATCTAGCGGTTATAATAGCGATATTACAACTACAGTCGACCCCGGCATATTTGGAGTTTGGCACCAGCAGATTCGTACACTGAAAAAAAATGGAGTGTTGAATTTACTCAATTTTATTTTGTCAAGTGGTTGCATGAAATAAAATAATCAAGGTCTAGATGCTTGTTTTAAGTCAACGATACAGTATATCCACTTCAAAATATAGATTAAAAAAAAAAGATCATTCTGTTGTGTGCAGCCACTTGACAAAATAAAATCGAGTAACTTCAATGCATCATATTTTTCAGTGTATATTCACTTTGTTCCCTTTTTTTGCCCAGGTTTTTTTCTCATCGTGTTCCATGGACAACATATACTGAATGTGAGTTTCTTTTTAAATAATTTCTTGGGTGTGTAAAAAAAAATACAAAATAAAAAAAATAAAATAAAATAAAATAAAAAATAAAAAAGCCCTTTTCTAAAAACAAGTGAACTTCAGATGTTCTAGTAGGCTTTTCTGAACTTATTGTTTTGTTAGTTACAAAATAGGGAATGTGGCAATGTTCTGAATTTTCCAATCTTATTCAAACGATCAAGAATGTTACTTAATATAAAAAAAAAAAATTAAACAGAAAAGTTCCTTTCTACTA